TAAAGATTTTATTTATTTATTTGTCAGAGAGAAATCACAAGTAGGCAGAGAGGCAGGCAGAGAGAGAGGAGGAAGCAGGCTCCCTGCTGAGCAGAAAGCCCGATGCGGGGCTCGAACCCAGGACCTGGGATCATGACCTGAGCCAAAGGCAGCAGCTCAACCCACTGAGCCACCCAGGCGCTCCAATTTTCTAGTTATTCTTATCTCAGTTCTCCTTAGTGTTGGTACTTTGGCCCTGGTTGATCATCCATCGGTTGGCCAAGGTTGTTCCTTGGGTGGTTTCTTCTAGAAGAGCTAATGAAACCACACATTTGCATACTTGCCCATTTTTGTACTGCTCTTATACTTGGGCCATAGTTTGCTTGGGTAAAACTTTTTTTTTTTTTTTTGGATCAAACTGTTTCCCCCTGCGGCCTTTTTTAGATTTCAGTCAAATGTCTTCTACCTGCGGATATTGCTATGGAGAGGTTGGAGGCCCTGCTGTAATTATTTTCATGTCTAGGTGATACAACTTTTTGCTTATGTGCCCTAAAGGATTATTTCTTTATCTTTGAAGCCTACTGACATTACTAAAATATATTTCAATAATGATTGCTCTATAATAGCTATTCTTGGGAACTGGGCATGTTCTTTACTTCTGTAGATTCAAGTTACATTGATTTCGTCTTTGAATGCTTTCTTTTCCATTTGTTAAGTTCTCTTCTTTAGGGAAAACGGTTATTCATATGTTGACTCTCTTTTGTTTCTCATCCATGTGTATATTTTTCCTTTAAGCCTTCTTTAACTCTTTGATCAGTGGTCTTTGTTTGGCCTGCTTTTTACATTCCTGACCTCCATACCCCTTAATGTGTTTTCATCAAGAATAGTTCTTCTTTGTAATGCTGCCAGTGCAGTCTTCTTTTATGCAGTGGTTCTGTTTTTCTCTTCCATATCTTTCCTGAGCTCTGCTAGCTCCTGTTTCCCTGAGCCCTTGTTCTTGATAATTTCAGGCATTTCTTTCTGTTCATGACAACATGTTTGATCATCACTTGGTGGCACTGTTTTTTCTGTTGTTTCCTATCTGTTTTTGTTGTCTGTTTGTTTGTTTCTTCCTTTATTCCCTTTTATTTCTTTATTTGAAACATATTTTCACAGGTTTTTTTTGTTGGTAGTGATGGTAGTGCTGCTTCTTCTTCCTCCTCATCCTTCTCCTTTTTCTCCTCCTCCTTCTTCATTTTTAAAATTATTCTTATTTACTATTGTTGAATGAAATGCAGTATTTTTAAACTATTTGCAGGAGGTATATGCCAGGGAGAAACCAGAGCAGCAATATTCTAAACTGCTCTTCATGGTTTGTTATGAGGCTTCTGTGATGTGTGTGTGTGTGTGTGTGTGTGTGTGTGTGTGTGTGTGTGTGAATCTTTACTTCTTTACTTCTTCCCAGACAGCAGTAGGCAACAATTGCAGGGCTGCTCACAATTCAGACTCTGCCATCCATCATCCTCTTGCCATGCCTATGTGTTTCCTCATCCAGTGTCTCCTTTTCTACTATTTCTAGGGACTAAGTAGGGCCCAGGGTTGCTCCTCACACCAGAAAGAACCAGGAAAACTAACTCTTCAAGTTTTACCTGAGATCTGGAGCCCTAGGCCTCTTCTCTGGGGGTCTTATCTCACTCCTCTCCAATATTCACATTTGGCAGCCATTCCTCATCTAGTTCGATTTGAAATTACAGATTTTCCCTAACATTTGTGTTTCTGTTTCTTGCTCTCCTGTTTTGAGAGGATAATTTCTGAGAAGAAAAGACACAGAGGTCTTCACCATATTATCTTAAACCCAAAATCACAACGATTTTTCTTATACCTCCTACTTGTAATTTCTTCCCCTGGGAAGGAAGAGTGCACATTGCTGTGATTTTTTTTTTTTTTTCTGTGATGCTTTTGTTACCCTCTCCAAAGAGATACTTTTTCTTCACACTACCTGAGAAGACTCACTTGAGATGTCACCTCCCCTGTGAACTTACAATATGGAAATAATCTTTGTTTTTCTTGATTGGCTTGTTTCTTACATACAGCTTCTGTAAGAAACCCCAAAGTGAATAATGACACACATCAAATGGAAGTTTATTACCCACTCATATAAAGCACAGGACAAGTGTTTCTTGACTGGCAGATAGTTTACAATCAGCAGTGATTTTAGACCCAGACTCTACATGGCTTCCATGTTGCTTGTCTACGTCAAGCCAGCAGAAAAGGGAAGAACGTGGAGAAGTAGGCATAGGAGATTTTATATGCCAGAAGTTTGGTGGAAGTATGACCCCCATCTCCTCTCGTTTTATTATATAGCACTAACTGGCAGAGATCCTGGGAAATATAGTATAGCTGTGTGGACAGGAAATAAAGAAGGAAAAGGAGGGAGGCCTTTTGAACAGCCAACTGCCTGACTGTTGCCCCAGCTTGCCTGTCATAAATGTCTATGTAGCCGAAGAACTTGAGTGTTTCTAATCAAATTCATCTCTTTCATTCAACAAAATGCATTGTGCTCCTTTTACAGATTGACTATGTGACTTTATTAGTCTTAACTCCTATGGTAGGAATAATAGTTACTTATTTTTCTGTATTGTCCTCGAAGAAAAATATGAGTTAGTAAAAAAAAAAAAAAAAAATCCGTTGTGCTGAGACTTTTGCCCTTTTAAAAAATATTGACATCTTCAGTAAAAGGAAAGGGTATGAATAATTCCACACGGGCCAGTAGTTATAGAGTCATAAAATATTGTTTCAGTCAAGTTGAATTCACCTGTAGAAGTACATCCTTCCATATTACTTTCTGCACATTTTTCCAATTCAAAAATGTATCCATTCTCCAAAGGAAATTCAATGACTACTATTTTAAAATAGGCATTTAATAGCTCAATTAAATCCAAAAGATGTAAGTGATGTGGAAATGTGGTATGGACAAGTCCATGGGATAAGAAGTTATTTAATAGCTTGTACTTTTTCACTAATACATTCCAAATTAACGCATACACCTTAATAGCCAATGGTTAGTGTTCACCACCTCTTCTTCTTGATCACCCCTGTAAAAATGTACCCAAAAACCAACTTGTATCCCTGCTTCATAGGGAATAAGAGTGGGTTTTATTTGCTTTAGCTGAGCTGTCCTGCTAAACCATCAACAACAGTTTATTTTGTTTTTAATTTTTATTTTTTTAATTTCTTTTTAGCGTAACAGTATTCATTGTTTTTGCGCCACACCCAGTGCTCCATACAATATGTGCCCTCCCTAATACCCATCACCTTGTTCCCCCAACCTCCCACCCCCCACCCCTTCAAGACCCTCA